GTGAAATGAAACTTCCAATGAATGGAGAAAAGTTAGAAGAAATGTGATGCCCTGAGTGTGGGCAGAGCTCACACATGGCTTGGGGCTCGTTAATGAACTGGCTGTTTGCAGATGGCCAGATGTGACGATGCTCTGTCTGTTCTTGCCCTGTTCCAGAGCCCCCCTCTCAGTCTGAGGCCCAGTTAGACCTCTCTTGCAATCCCACATGTCACCTCTGAGCTGTGTCTGCACAAGGAGGACCTTTGATCAATGGGACGCTCCGAGGACAAGGAAGACAGAGTCTTACAGAGACACTGGCTCCACAGCCGAAACATGTCTCTTTTCTTTTCAGCATGGAATAAACCTTTACTTGTTCCTTTACTGGCCAATCAAAGCAACCTTGAAGGCAGTATAGCCCCCAATGCCTGTTGGCCTACACCTATATTGTCACCTATATTGTCACAGCATAGTACAATTTGGCCATTCTGTTGACTTGCGCAGTCCTTAAAGATTCAAACCTTTGATATAATACTGCATATATATATATTTAAAATACTCATATAGGGGTGGTGCGGTGGCTCTGTGGCTGGAAGGTTGTCGGTTCATACCTGTGGCTGGCAGAGGAATCCTACTCCCTTGAGCCCCTGAGAAAGGCCCTTAACCCCAACTGCTCCAGGGGCGCCGTATAAATGGCTGACCCTGCGCTCTGACCCCAAACTTCTCTCCCTGTCTGTGTGTTTCATGGAGAGCAAGTTGGGGTATGTGAAAAGACAAATTCCTGATCTCTCTCTCTCTCTCCTCTCTCTCTCTCATATACATTTTCTTTGCTTTTTGTATTTTTCTTAGTTCCCTTTTTTCCTAAACACCCAGTGCAGAATGTCATTTTTCCTGGGTGTCTGACTGCATTAACCTTCCCTCACACACAGCATGTTGACTGGAAACATACTGATATGTCACGTATTGATTTCAATATCAGTAAGAGATGGAAATTCTGAGCTGTTGTTATTCATACCCTAAGGCAGGACGGTGAGCCAAGTTTTATAGTAAGAAAAAGTGATGCCATGTTTTCAGTATTCATTGTTTTTTATTTTATCTATGAAGTAAGTCTCTGCATTAAAAAAACATAAGCCACCCTCTTAATGATTAATTGTTCGGAAATGGAACTGACATTGGAAGTGCCTTTCAGCTTAAAGGTTTGTATTAACAACCAATTATTTGAAATCTCCCCCAAAAAACTATTTCAACAGAAACTGTGCACACATTTTCAGGTTTTTAGGCCATCAATGCTGAGGTGGCATAGTGAGCATAACTGTACCTCAGAGCAGAAATGGAAAGCTAGAAATGTTCCAGTTTTGCCAATCTAGAAATTGTATAACAAGTTTAACAGCCAGAATTCATGTGAAGCTTGTTAAAGTTGTTAGTTGGGAGGGCAGCTGTAACTATGTCACTGGTCTCTGATTTGTTCCCTTCCTTTGTCCACTAATAGAATAGCATTCATGCTCACTTACTGACACATGTATTTACTGTAGGCATGAATTGAACTCCATTCTTCTGCACAGGTTTGGCAGTGCAGTTTGTGAGACATCCTTGGTGTAAAATTGAAAAGCTGAATGAAAGGCACATAAAAGTGGGCATTTGTGCAAAACAGGCTCATGAGGAAGGTCACATGTTCACCTGCCAGTGAGGGGGCTCCTAGCCTCTGTGGACTGTACACTTTACAGCTTCCTGCAACTTGTAGCAGGCCCAAAACGTAGCAGGCTCTACAGAGCAGGACCAAGAAGATGGTGCTCTTCATTGAATCACAGATGGACTGATTTGACCTTCTGGACAGATCCAACCAGAGCTAAAAAAAATTGCCCTTATTCTGTCATACTGCAGGTGTCAGCATCTTAAAAGAATGCTAAAGAAGGAGTAGAGCACAAATGTAGATTCTACAGATTGATCACAGCATATCACGGGAAATCAATAGCACTGTATGGTTGTTTCAAATCTGCCTAGAAATGTTGCCCTAATTTATGGGCTGGTGTTTTTCTATGCAAGAAGCTATTTATCATATCACGTGCAGCTGAATTACATTCCTCATTGAAAATAACTGAGGTTCATTTGAATTAATGACAACCTTCCAGTTGGTTCAATCGGTATTTTCTTATATAGGGTGTCTTTTTCCTATTCATCACCATCTTAGAGTTTCTTACAGTGAATCAGTTATGAATACCGCAAAACTGAATAAGAATGCAATTTTTTCCAGAGGTGGTTGTCATCAAGTGTAATCTAATTCTGGTTGCAGCTCCTTTTCAGATTGTTTAAACTTTAAATTAAGTGCTTGTCTACACTGTCAGTGATCATAATATCGCATAATCCACTTTCCTAATATGATGGAAGTTGCTTTGTGAACTAAAACAGGGCATATGGTTTGTCAAGTGTGTGGACAGGTACAGCAGTGGCGAATTTGGTTGTGTCCTGTGCGTATGGAGAAACAGAAAGAGACAGGTGACTTGGCAGGGTCAGGACTGAAGGAACGCTTGCAGGCCTGCTGTCTCTAAGAAAGCACAGAAAGATGGAACTGGAAAAGATGTTCAAAGACTCTGTAGCAGAGAAGCAGTAGTTGTGAGGGGAGCTTGCATGGTGGGGGTGTCTGGAGGACTATATGAAAGGTAAATAAGGATATTAGAGGTGCACTTAACCTATGTGCACCCATCTACCCTGACCTGTCTAATAATAACCTCATTTACTTTAACAAGTTCCCACGTCTGGGGAATTTGCAAGAGTAGCGAAAAATGTACAAGCACACTTTCAAAAGTAAAAGGGAGATGTCTGAAAGAGAGGGTTGACTTGAGTGATTGTTGGGCACTAGACAAATAAGCAAAAAACAATATCATATTTGTACAGATTTGCATACTAGAATGGCAATTTTGCCACAGTTTAGGTATTCATACTGCATGATGCTTTTTTAGTGTATGAATGCTAGGTTGGGTACTGAGAAGTGTTTTGTGTGCTTTAGGTGGGGTGAATAATGCAATAGCCAATGATCCTATTCACAAACATTATACAAGCATGGCCAATAGAAAAGTGAAAATTCTGTGCACATAGACTGAGCTTAATTGGGACTGTTCTGTCTTGGGAAACCAGGCATTTCCTCTGTCAATAAAGATGAAGGCTGGTAATGTAATTTCCTCCTAATGCAGTTTGGCCATATTTCTCAAACAGGAGGAAAGAAGCACTTAAATCAGATTGAAACCATGATTGACCTTGTAATCTCATATCTAAAAGGAATCACATCAGCAATATGATAGAGTGTAATGGTAAAAACCAAAACAGTAACACTAGCAAAAACATCACGTTTAAGGTTCTCAAAGTAGTCAGCCAGTGAAACTGCCTGATTAATGATGCTTGAACTCTAGAATATTAAGGAGAAATCCATTTGAATCCGCTACCTAAATGGGACTGGGAGCATCCAGGGACACCTTGTTGAGCTCTGCTGCTCTTGAGCTGGTTGAAATGGGAGGAATGGTCCTCAGTTTCAGATGCATTGGTGACCCCTGTTGCTGACTGGTCAGGCTGGTTCCCAGTGTTATAGTAAATATTGGCAGGATACTAACTGTCTATTTCAAATGTACTGTTCTTGAAAGACTAAACATAAAATTAAGCATTGTACACCTTTGTAGAGTAGCTGGTTATATTAAACAAGGTTAACATAATTCACTTTTTAGCTCTAAGGCAAGCATGTAATTCAGCTTTTGCAACACTGATCATAGGTCATTAAATTGTCTTTGGAGCAAAGAGTAACATATATTAACAGTCCCATCAAGGACAGCTTAAGAGTTTGATCTACGTTTTGAGGGTTAGTCTGTGTGGATTTTGCACTTTTCAGCAGAGTGCTCCCAGTTTCTTCCAGAGACATGCCGGCCAGCTTGATTAGCGATTCTGAATTGGGCCTTTCTCCATGACACTGCAGTGGAAACAGAAGAGTGCTCCCAGGAGTGCTTTAGCTTGCTGTGACCCTCGCCATGATGAGAGGCGACTGACAATGGATGGGCCTTCTCATTGGAGCGTGGATGACATTTGCAGTTATGTAGCTTCTACAAATGCTCCATCATTTTAATACTCACTTTCTAGGAAGCTTAGGATCTACTGTATATACAATTAGTTATTTTCAAAGCCATGTTCCCTTTGGCAGTACAGTAGGTTCAAGAACATTGTTGTCTTGTATCAGGCAGTCAAACATCCATTAATATAGGATAAATGAACTGTACAGTCTCTTGGTATCCCCAATAAGCACTCTGTATGCTGAAATTACAGAGCATAACCTCCATCTACATCTATGTTATAAACAAAGGTCATAGAAATGGCTTCACTGCAGGTACTCTGTGTACTCATATTCTGTTTTTGGACACAGCAGATGTGTCTTTAATGCAAACTGTGAGCACTTATTAAAACAAAGGTAATATGGTCGGCAACAGTGCTCTCTCATTCATTTACCTCTTGACTTTTATAAGTACAGTAAATTATTTCTCTACTTAACAGGAGGAAGTAATAGTTATACCGAACCAAGTACCAGCTTCAGAAGCCCTCTAAAAAAACAGCGAGACGGAAACGGAGAGGTACAGTACAAAGTTTTTAAACTCAAGATTGAAATACATTTTGATATTCCGACTTGCTTAGAATGCATGTATTATGGTACTATGTTCAAATTACGTTACCAGACAATTTATAAGAAAGGACAGTGAAGCATGTCATTGTACTGGAAGACATTAGCAGCAGTATTAGAACATCGTTAAACTCTGAATAAAGCAGGGTATTGAACATGCTATGTCATACATGCTCATTAGCTTCAATTGTGAAATCTGCTATTCAGACCTCTTCATTTAGCGTAAAAATACATTGTAGGAAAAGATACAGAAAGCAAAATGCTTAAGGAAAAGGAGCAGAGTACACAGGCAGGAGGCACAGGACCTGTACTGCAAGGTGTCTTTTATTAGCACTTTTGCTGCACATGTCAAAATGAATGCTGGGTGTCTTTTCTTATACAAATCTAATGATATTTTAAAGAAACAGGGCTTGTAGAATATTTCTAATTCCTCCTAGTATCTTCACAGATTTATTGAACTTAATGCTTCCTTTCTGCCTGTCAAGTGTCAGGGCTGTTTTAATAAGATGGGTATGATTATGTGCTATTGTAATTATAATTTGTTTGATGATGATTGAATTCAGACCTATGAAGATCAAACAGCCCTTGTGATTGGTTGACATGGTTAGGTAGCTGTGGAAACCTTGTGTCTGAAGCAAACGAACGGCATCTTGTCTGACTAAGGGAAACATTGACATTCTGCTTTGTTGTTTACCTTGTCAGTTTGAATAGGGTAGTTTGATGATGCAGAAATGCCCCCCCCCTCTCACTCTCTGGAAAAACTCTACCTATTTTTGGTTCAGTGATAACAGATTAAGGAAATCATAATAGAATGTATCCTTTTATCAACACGGATCACTGAATTACTTAGAAACGTAAACAAATCTGATGTTTTAAAACTTGAATCTGGAGGACATATTAAACTTGACTTTGTCATAAATTAATATATGTACATGATTGAATTTTCTTATTAATTATGTGTTAATGAGCTCATAATTGATTTTAATCTAATTATAAATATATACAGTACCTACAGTATGTAATTCTGCACCACAGCATATTTTTATTGAACCGTTTATTCTGAGATCAATACAGAGGCAGATACACCATACAGTATATTATTATTATTATTATTTAATTATGGTGCTGTATTTTCAGTGTTAAGTGTTTTCTTTGTTTGATAATCATTTATTACTGGAGAATATTAATCTGTATGAAAACTTAGGATACTTTATTACAACCCCATTTCTTTTCTGGTTTAACATGTTCAGTGCATTGTCCACTAACATTTTTTAAACATTGCAATGTCTTTTGCAATTGCAGAAAAGTTAGTGGACATATACTGTATACAGCAGCAAGCCTCACTGTAGAGTGCTCTGGGTTTTATCTGACTCTCGGTATTGCAGGTACTTGAGATGGTGTTCTGCAGCTCACAGCTGGCTCAGGCAGCTAGGGCCTGGATGAATCTTGCTCCAGAAGCTGGTGGGTAACAATCTGATTGATCATTTACATTTGACACCCCCTTTAATGCCCAGAGACCTGAAAATGTTAGACTTTGAAGTATCCAGACATTTTTTTGCATTCTTTTTTTGTTTAATTTGTCCTGTTCTGTCATCTCATATCTTAGAGGAAATTGCAACAGAGTCTTGAAGTTATCAGCACCTGCCAAGACTTTCTTTGCACTTTTTTGTGTTGCAGTGTTTATATTACTTTATTTGAGATTAAATTGGAATTCTCAGATTACAGTAAATGGTCACATTTATAGTGCCCTACAACTTGCTACCTCTACTATTAGTGAGAACCTAAAATGCATATATCAAAGAAACAGTGTCAAAGCACACTTGGTTTGGATGTTATCCATGGGACATCTATTCCATGTAAATGTTTCTGTCTCAACATCACTTCAAGATAAATTTAGAAGGTGGCTCATAGCTACAAATTCGAGGAGGAATTCTGGTCTTCTTCCTTTTAGCTAAATTATTCCATATCTTCATGTACAAAGTCCTTGCATGTTGCTTATGAAATCAGCATGTTTGCACACCTTTAAGTTGGCCTCAAAGCAAAAATAAAGTCAAGCCTGTTTCTATTCTGAATCTGCATTCACTCAGGAAACGTCTCTCGCGCTCCTGTGTGATATACAATTGTGAAGTCTAAGGGGTATATACAGTTTGAGGTTTCCTTGAAGATGCTGAGTTCAGAAAGAGGCTGTGACGAACAGGAAGTCTTGCTGTCTTTATTCTGCAGCTTGAGTTCCTGTACACACACACTGTTTAAGCAGCTTCCCTTGCTGAGGAGGTCAAGAGAGGTCACTGTGGGATTACACAGCTTTGGCAACAAGATCAGCTCCTCTTGTGAATCTGCAGACTGTTCCCCCAGGAGTTGAACCAGATGTAATAAAACCAAAACTGACTAAAGTACGAGCAAAAAAGCCAAAACTATTGATGTGCTGAAGCCAGTTTTCCTAAGATGTGGTCAAAGGCTAAGAAGGTTAAGGCCATCTAGACAGCTTTACCTGGAAAAGCTTGTACAATATTGTGGTGAAAAAAAATGCTTTTGTTTCTTAGAAAAAGAGAAAAAATCACAATTTAGGAAGCCGTTTTGTTTTAGTCATTCTATAGATTTTAGTGGTCATTTTTAGAAGGTTTGGTACAAAGAGGTTTTGGTAATCCTTAAGTAATTTCATTTAACGAATTCATTCTTTATCCAAATCTTGATTGGGTTTGAAGCAGCTTCTTTTTTATAACCACTCATATAAATCAGTTTTAGCATTTCTACAAAAAGTAAACACAATTAAAATAAGTCCAGTACATGGAAAAATGCAATATTCAGAAAAACACACTTTAAACACACAGTTTAAAAATAACAGTACTCTGCTCTCCAAACCCTAAAAGTAATGCGTTTTATATTTTTTCACCTCAAGTTAAATGATTTGGTATATACAGTACCTACAGGCAATAAAAATGCAGTGGCTTCCTCTTATGGGAAATGATGCAATAAATCCTCAGGTCACCAATCTGAGTTACAGATAACAGTATGGGGACTGTTTCCGTGCTGTTTCCGAGCTGGTAACAGGTGTAACAAACACCAGTGTGCAAGTTTCATTGAACATTATTTGGTGTAATGATGTCATGATGCAGCCCTTTTAATTCGTGTATTTATAAGCTCTAATACTTTTCTGCAAGATGCAAGCCATGATTGACTAATGCAGAGAGGAATCATGGCTTAGGATGCTGAAATCTCGCAGTACTGAATATGGTTGCACAAGGCCTTAATGTCCATTTCTCATGTGTTAGGCCTTGCTGGGACAACTGGCAGGGTTGGGACATGACCCTTGTCCTGGTACTCCACTTCACTCCAGCAAGACAACACTGTTTCATTTGTGTTCAAAATATTCACAAGTGGCTTCAGTCTGCCACACTAAACGTCATCACTGGGACTCTCCACAGCTCAGGAACAGCTGAAACGTGTGTGGCAGACTATGGGAAATTAGATTATTGTGATGGAGGAGTGATGGTGTGGCGTGCAGTGAATGCTGAGTTCTAGTCAGAACTTTGGTCACAAGCTGTTGTCCAACATACGTCTCCACACATTTTCGGTCCTCTGTTAGTATAAACTGGCGGAGACAGACCTCAGTTTCTTACGTAGCAAAACCCACACTGCCAGGATTTAAGCATTTCTTTGCATTTGCAACACACGCAACATAAGCATTTCTTTGAGCTTACAACGTTCAAAGTTCATGTTTGCCTGCTGTGAACCCAAGTGAAAACATCTGGGATATGTAGTTCAGGTGGGTAGCTGCGTCAGCATGCGTAGGCTGCAAAGGAACAAGTAATAGGTTTATTCCATGCTGAAAAAAAGAAGAAAGAGAACACAACGTTTCGGCCGTGGAGCCCTCCCCAGGTGTGATAACATCTGGGATATGTTTGACTGGAACATTCTGAAAAACAGACTCTTTGCAGAAGAAGCCATTCGCCCAGTTTGTATGTTCTCCCTGTGTTCACTTGGGTTTCCTCCAGGTGCTCCAGTTTTCTCCCACATTCCAAAGACATGCTGGTAAGTTAATTGGCCCTGGTGTGAGTGTACTGTATGTGCTGTGTCTGTGAAAAATGTGCTCTATGATGGACTGTCATCCCTTTTCCTGGTGTTTGTTGCTTGCTGGGATAGGCTCTGGCTTCCCCACCACCCTGTATTGGATAAAGTGGATAGAAAATGGATGAATGGATCTCAGCAAGTGCCATACACCTACAATCCTTTCAGTAAAGTGAGTCCTACTAATACAAGTAGTTCCCACTTGTGCCATCTGCTTTGTGTTACAATGTTGAGTCTGAAGAAGTCCATGGGGTTGATTTTGTCAGTTCATGTCAGAAGTTTGTATCCTTGGATCGGGTGATCTCGAAAGTGTCTCTGTTCAGAACTAATCCATGACTGGACCAAGTGCTGTGCAGGAGAGTATGATAATTTCAGGTAAACTCCAGGAGAGTTGGCAGCCTTACACCTAATCCATACCAGGTGGACTGCGGTTTCCTCTGTCTTGCATTGATAACTTGAACCAAGCAATGTATTTGTCATATGAAACTTTGTGGAGTCAAAAAATAGCAAAAATGTCTGGATAAAATAATATTCGCAGTGGAACCCTAGATCTGGTGTTTATTATTAGTGCTGGGGCTTATATGGCCTAGGAGCCTATAGATGATTTTCTATGATTTTTCATGTACCCTGTGCTAGATACTTCTTCACTCCAGGTATTTAAAATGCTTCCCGTATCTAGATTAAATATTTAAAAAGAGAAAAATTCTTGCTTATTTCTCAGTGGTTCTACATACTGCACACTACACTAGTACACCTTGTCCCTAATTTTTGTTTTGTATCTGTTAACTTGCTAATTAAAAAGAATAGATTTGAGACAGTCTCTCCGTCTTTTGTCATGCATTGCCACTTTTCTTTTCATTGTAACAAATTGTACTACCGCTCCCTTTTCAGAAAAATGAGTATAGATTTCAGCAATCTAATTTAAAGTCAATTACCAGTGCTTTCATTAGAAATACTGTAATTATGCTTAATCTACAGCCTGATAAAATATTACCACTTTGGTAGAACAATTTTGGATTAGGCAATGAATAACATATCGCTTAATAAATGAAGATGGATTAGTGAAAAGTAAATAATTTTCAATAACCTAGTCACATGACTTGTTTAAAGACAAGTTTCTTTAAAAAAAACAAAAGCTTTTATTTTGAAGTGTAACATTTATTTTGTTCAATGAATTAGGAATAACACTAACTGAATAATATTGTTATGCTCTTGTAGCTGTAGTTCCTTTAGCTAAAAAGAGTAAATCATTAAGCACGTCATCATTTTATGTAATTGTTGGCATTTTTTGTGGAGTACATATAAGTTCAGTGGATCTTGTAATTTTCTGGTATTTTTTTTAATTCAAATTAACATGTAGATGGGGTAAAACACAGCAAACGCAGTAGTTGGATTCTGATCCTTTTTTGGCCGTTGAAGTGATGAACAGTGTGATGGCATGATGAGCTGATTAGTGATCATCCTGCAGGCAGATTGAAGCTCGGTGGGAAACGAGGGTGATGAAAAGAGTAATAGCGAGAATTCTGGGAACACGTCAGGACATAAATAGCTCACTCTTAATTTAAAAGAACGTCTGTAGAATTATTAAGACTGAAAAAGCAGCTGTCCCACCAAGTCACAATGGCCATAGAAACAGAAAATAACCGAGCAGTTTAAAAGAGTCACCTTCTCTACAGTTTATATGCCTAAAAAGGCATAATGACAGCAACACCAACTGCACGGGATTCAAACAACAATCACAATGTTGGTTATCAATTAGCAGTGCACTGTTGAGTGTGGATTGGCAGAAGAACATCAAATATAAAAAACAGGCTGGAGAAGTGAGGAAAAAAAGAAATAAACTAAAGAGCAGAGGTGGGAGTTGAATAGGGAATAGAAGCGTTAGGAGGGCAATAAGGTTCTGTAAAACTAAATGTTTGTTACCTTAATTCCAAAAGCACTTAACACTGCTTTTAAGTATCTAGCTTTTTCTTCAGTTTTCTATAGGAAGCCTCTTTACAAATTAAGATTTTCCATTTTGAATGCTTTATGCTTCATTTCTGTGGTAGAGAGCAAAGCTGTCCAGGATTTGGCTGTGAGCATGTTTCAGGAGCGTGGGAGCTCACTAAAAGAAGGCTCTCCTGCACACAGCTACATCAGCCAGGTAAGGGTGATGTCTGTGCCCTGAGTGACATTAATAAAAATCTAATTTTAAGACTTGAGTCTTGCCAAAAACAAAACTTTAAATTCTAAAACAACTTAAATGTTCATCATTACTTGATTCTGTATTATGTACTGTATATGGTCTGACATAATGTCATTTTTTATCCTTAATTTCTGTTTCTGTTGTTGCTTTTGTGAGTAGGCCATGTCCAAACACATCAGACCAGAGTGCATTGTGCCAATGAACCAGTGGCTCAGGAGGGCAGGGAAAGAAGGTACATCGAAAAAGACTGGACAGGACCGAACTTTCCATTTCAAGTGACTGCATGTACTGTCCGTAAAAGCATAAATGTTTCCAGTTCAAGTTCCTCTGCTCAACTGATTACGAGAATTGTAATATTCAAACTTTTAAAAAAGGAATAAAAAGTAAATCAATCTGTTTGCAGGTGAACAGGAAAGCTGTGGAACAACCATATTATCTCTATGGTTTCAAAGGATACATTTTGATGTAGTTGGGGGGATTTTTTCAGTTGTCACACAAAAAGTTGAAAACTATATAAAACAATTTCCATAAAAAGATCCTAGTTCCAATACTGAGGAATGGATGTCTTGTTGACTCATGTTTGGAGTGCTTACACCACATGTACCTCACTGCAGTCTCAAGTGCTTCTTCCTTTCTATCAAGCACTAGTTTTATAGATTTTACTTACCATTTTGGGTTAAGATACTGTATTAAACATCATTATTACTGTGCCAATTAACCTAGCTAGCTAGCCTTGCAATTCTTGTGACATTGTGCAGCGACTGTGCACGTGGGTCATGGTGAACCATTCTGCATTTCCTGACTGCCTGGGGGGCATCTGAGGTGATTTTCCAACAGGTTGTGCTGTCTCACAAACTGAAGGCTGCTGGTAAGACAGGGCTATCAAAGTGAATGATATGTCTATTTTTTTCTTTCTCAGAAGGGTTATAGCTATTTTCTCCCTCTCTCTGTCTGTCCCCTCTTCTTGATTTATTGCAGAAACTGCGGCTGTGGCGAGCCTGTTAAAAACCCTGTCCACAGACCCTCAGAGAGCACAGCGGAGGGGCCCGGGCCAGCGCGAGGCACTGGGACACAGAGCCTCCGACTTCCAGATCCACCCAGAATGGGTGACTCAGCCCTGGCACAGTCAGTACCGGCACTCACAGGAAAGTGTGGGGAAACACGTCAATCAGCAACCATGAAGCATCCTTTTTTTAGCAGCTGCATAAAGGCTGAGACAAGACAGCTGATTTAGTGTATGTGACAAGACTTCAGGACTAAGATGTATTTAGAAATGATTGCTCTCTGTGGACATTATGATTTGTAAAAGTAAAAGATGTGCCAGAAAAATCAGGCAGATTTCCATCTAAATCACTTCAGTCAAATCCCAGGGTCCTTGTCTATAAGTTTTGATCTTATTCCTTATCTGGATCTGTTTAATTCAGATGAAAAATACTTTGTTGGTGTGGACAGCGCGTCTGAGGTAATGAAAACTACAATGTTTACAATGATTTAATCAAACCAAGCTCTTAACAAACCTGTTAATGTCTGTGAGCTATGTGGACACTAAAAGCTAGTTATGGCCTCTTGGAGGAAAATGGACCTCACACCCTTTCATACGTAATTCAAATGACTAGCTTGTGAAAAGTAGTGTTTAAACCGTGCTTGTGGTCTCACTGACTGGTGATGGACTGTTATTTAGCTGATTAGTCTAATTGAACCTCATTGTAATGAAAAGCTCATTAAAAATACTAATTAATAGGAAGCCCTGGGAAAGCTTTTGGGTGGGATATGTGTGAAACTTCCATATATACAGCTGAGCATCTCTACCTTCTCAAAAGGCAGATCCAGGTAGGAGTGCATTATTTCGTATGCCCTTCCCACCAAACCCAACCAAAAGACGGACAGCAAATGGATATTGTGTTCTATGCATCTTTGAAAAAACCCCATTGGTAAAGGGGTGTTCCTATTTTGCCTAACATACCTATTAAGAGACCACATTAACTTGCACAGCTGCAAATGAAGAAGACTGTCCAAGTAGTGCTGCTAGAAAAACTGTCCCAGTAGTGCTGTTAGAAAAGCATTTTGGCACTGCACTTTAAGTGGCATGGAGGTATTGACCTCTTTAATCCTTTTATTATAATATAACAATGTGGCAGTATCCTGTGGAAGTTCCATCTTTAAAAAAAAATAAGTTGTTTATTCAACAATAAAACAATAAAAAAATATTACAGCCAAACAGACTTCAGGTAGGAGTCTGGGAAAGATCTGAAACACTATTTACTGCAGGGGAGCCATAGTCCAAGGTGGTCTTTAGCTCTAGTTAACAGTGAAGAACATGTCTTTTAACACCTGCAAACAACTAAAGTGGTTTTGCTGTCATTACTCCATTTGGGTGAGTAAGAACAAGTAGCAATAAAAAAAATAATTTGTCATATAACCCAATTTTATACATCTTCTAAGGCTCTAATTATTAATTTTGTTGTAGTCTTAGAACTTCACTTGTTGCATACTTAATACTTCGGTCTTACAACAGAAGTAGTATTTAACACCAAAATATAACAGTATTATCACCTCCATAAAGGACAAAACATGTCTTAAAGGGTCTATCAATGTAATGTCAAACACAAAATAAATCACACTGAAAACACTGAAGAATGCTCCCTTAAGGTACAATCTTGAAACATTGAGGAAATGAAATTAACATATTACAATACCAAAAATGGATAAAGAAGACAAAACAAGAACAATATCTGGAGTAAGCTTTACTTCCAAATCCTGTTACAATGAGAACTGGCAATTGAACATAAAATAATGCAAAAAAAAAAACCCAAACAGAACAAAAAAATACAAAATGAACTAATTACCAGTTATTGTCACAAACAACCCTGTACAGCCTTAAAGATGAAGTAATAAAAAAGCTTTATACAGTACATAACATTTTACTGTGCCGAAAGAAAATACTAAAGTATTATTGAGCTTCTTTGAGAAGTAAATACAGCAAACTTAAAGCAAAACAGAAAAGAGTGCAGAGAAATAACAGCATGATTAAATGGAATCCAAAAAAAGTTTGTTTTTAAGAAACAAAAGTAAGTGCTAAGAACTAGAGTTTGCAATATCATGCATCTTCCCAAGTGCTAAAGGTAGTCACGCAATAACTTTAAATCACTGTGCTGCTTACACATAGCCAAATAATAGCTGAAACAAGTGCTTAGAAATACTGGTATAGAAAGGACAGCCTGATCACTGTCAGTTTTTTCCATTGAACACTGCATGAAAGTGCAGCCATTTTAGATAAATTCAAAGGCAGACAAAAAGTGTCAGCAGACACGTTTTTTCAGAGTTGACACTGAAAATCAGTTTTACTCATTCTCAGCTATCTCAGACTGTTCCCTTCCACCAAGTGGCACTAGAGTATAAAAGATAATGTAAATTTGAAGGGAGTTCTTAACTTGACTGTTCAAGAGCACCCCATATTGAAATAATGTAGCACCAGGACTGCATGCTGTACATACACATAGCAAAATTGCAGGGGGAGCAAAGGCACACTGCCTTCCCCCTGCTTCCAGAACCAAACAAACTCATTCCTCAGCGCGCAGCCCAATTTTTTTTTCAATTTTCTTTTGGTCTTTAAAACCTGCCTTTTTAAAAGTTAGCTTTGTTTTCCATTACAAAAACAAAATAATAAAAAAACAAGACACAAAAAACTGGTGCGAATTCAAAATCCCTTTGCAAACAGTAAATCGTTTTGGCTTAAAGACCACTTAGGAAACATGAGTGCCATAGGTAGGAACTTCCTCTCACCTATGAGGGTAAATCATTGAGTTTTGCCTCTTTCCTTTTTGTATACAGAGATAATGCCAAATCTCAGCCAGGTATACTTTGTTTTTCTAAATGACAAATATAAAATAGTGCAAGACTAAAGCACTGTGCAAAACTGCCTTTTTTCATTTAGCCTGAGCACCTTTGCCCAGGAGTTTGACCTCTAACATCTATTTATCAAATAACCAAAGAAGAGAGGACTTTCTGTACATAACATTGTATTTCTCCATTCCTTAGAGGGTTTAACACATGGAAACCACTGCACCACCAGAAATGTGCATCTAAAAAAAAACTTTTTTATAATACAAAAAAAATAACATAGTATATATGAATGAGAGTGTTTCTTTACAGGACTACCTTACAGGCAAAATCAGTTCTACTGTACAATAAACCCTGGTTCTTGTATCTTTATACAGTATGTAAAGGGAATATTAAGTGCATTTTATTTTAATTTCGAAGCTATTAAGTGCAATTATGTTTTTAAAAATAAAAAGGAGAAAAGCTCAAGAGGATATAATGTCTCCATGGCAAATGTACAAAGAAAAGAGAGATGATACATCATAGAAAATGAATGGTGACTTTCTCACTACACACATAAGCCTTTTTCAAGGTGTGATTTATATCATGTCATGACAGGATCTCTGATAATAAAATGATAATAAAAACAAGTATTAAACACTAACACAAAAGGCCACCAAATACTCTGTTGTTTACATTAAATCTTAACCAATCTTGGAACTTTATACCTATCTTTGTGTCACGTCTACATTTACATTCAACAAAGTCCTTTTGGAACAGCTTTTATAATACAAAAAACTGAACATGGGCACCTGGAAACAGCATTAGATAGGAGGTAAAGGCCATGGTCATTAAACAAATCAACCATTATGTGTTAAACTCTACAATAAAACTGAGTTTAAGGACTAAATAGCTGTTATCTGTCATCCTCCAAATGACCTTTTATCCAGAAAGCAGGAGACAGAGCACATTTGGAAGGAAATTGCACGTGGTTGTAAAACACTGAGTGAAAATGTTTTCACTTCTCGGTATTCAGATACATCACATTTTACAGCTATAGTACAAATTTACAGGCGCTCATGTTTGAGTATTTGCAATTCTTAATTTCTTCAGCTTTTCTAAATACAAAATAAAAAAGTAATGGGAGTATTTCTGGCTAAAAAAAGTCATTAAAAAATACACAGCTACCCAGACTGAACCAGCTGATACATAATTTATTCAGACCATCTTCTGTAATTCCACTTAAATTCCAAATTAATTTCATGATTTCTTAATGATATTATTATATTCAACTTTGACTGGACGTAGATCTTCGTAAATGATTTGAAACACCTATGTTGTACCTGCTGTCGCCACTTGCAGTGGAAATGAGGTGTATATCTCAAAGAGTGCTTTCTCAGGTAAAAGAAGGCAATGGGAATCAAAAATAGTTGCTGTCCTTTGAAAGAAGACATTCACAATAAATCCGGGTCTGCTCTGGTAGACGGTTCAAAAACCCACGACAACGTTGCCTTCAAACAGCCAGAGGGACACGGACAAATACAGGCTACTGGCGATGCTGTGGTGTTCAGCGTCCCTGGTGCAAGACCAAACTAACACCTGTGAAGTCAGGACAGAAAAGCATGCTTCCTAAAGCTTTGAGAAAAGCAATCTCTAGTAGGACGTGTGCAGCACTTCTTCCTCTCTCTTGTCTTTTATAAACGTTTCAGGTAGTGCAGTGGGTTCCTCTTTACAAAAAAAAAAGCAAAGAAACTAAATTACAACAGAAAAGAAAGCAGCTTTGATATAAATGCATTAAGCACATACAGCCTTTGAATTTTCTACCTCGACTACTTTTATATCCAGCACGTTATGGTAACTTGGTCGGACAGGTCCTATTGCAGCGGGCGGCACAGTTCGCTCCCGCAACGGTCAAGGGAGGGAAGCGAGGCAGCATCACACCGTCTTTGCCTTCTCGGTCAGTCCCAGGTAGGCGAGGAAGGAGTGTTTGAGCGCGTCGGGAGACAGGGACAGGGAGGGGGAGGAACAGGAGGAGGGGGAGAAGGAGGGATGTAGTCTGGAGAAGGAGGAGGAGGAAGGCGGGTGGAATGTGCTGCCTCCCCCGAACTGGCTCGGGGGGAACAGGGTGGTGAGGGGGATGAGGTGAGCCAGATCGCAGTTCCTGTACTTCTCGTAGCGGGAGGCAAAGGACGTGCCATTGGCCGAAAGGTAGTGGAGGGTCGGCTTGGCTTCCTGTTGCTTGCCCGTCACGGACAGCGCCACGGACTGCAGCGCCTGAGAGGCGGACATGGTGAGCAGGGGGCTGCTGCTGCTCTCGCTGCTGCTGCTGCTGGCGCTGCCGGCGCTGCCCACAAGGAAGGCCTCCTTGCCCTTCCGCAGCTGGCGGTGTGGCTCCTCATCGGGCGGCTCCCCATTCTGGTGCTTCTTGACGTGGCGGCTGAAGACGAAGGGGTGCGTGGTGGTGAAGGAGCACTCGGCACAGCTGAAGGTCTGCCGGGGGGCGTGCTTCAGCTTCTTGTGCAGGTTGAGGTTGTCCTTCCGCTTGCAGCTGTAGCTGCACTGGTCGCAGTGGAAGGGCCGCTCGCCCGTGTGCACGCGGACGTGCTCGATCAGCTTGTTCGCGGTCTTGGACAGGTAGCCGCACTGCTCGCACTTGTAGTGGTTGCCCAGCCGGTGCTCGCGGATGTGCATCTCCAGCTCCAGCTGGTTGGCCTTGACCGCCTGGCAGATGCGGCACTTGTACTCCATCTTGTAGTGCGTTTTCAGGTGGCACTCCATGGCCGTGGGCCGGTTGGTGGAGTAGATGCAGAAAGGGCACCTGGGACAGAACAGACACAGACAGAAGCGGGCGTTAGACTGGAAAGGGAAGAAGAAGAGGCAGGAGCGGTTGTTAAAAACTATTACGCAAACACACTCCCTAAAGCGTGATGAAGGGGGTAAGAGCTGAAAAGTGAAAAAGTGCTGGTGTGTGTATATTGTTGATGTGAGTGTTTTTTTTGTGATGCAGATAATTTAATTCTCCAGGTTTTATTTTGTACATAGGTAAATGAATAAATGAACGAGACTTACATTTATATAGCACCTTTCATCTGCTCAGGACCCCAGAGTGCTTCACAAACCCTGCAGAACAGAATCACCTCAGAAACCAATGGTGTAGCCCCTTTATCCTGCACTCCCCTATATGCTAGAGGATAAACACTGCCCTGCCCTGTGCGCCCAAGCCCAGCTGGCTGCCTGAGCATCACTGAGTAAGAAAGCCCACCGATCTCCATACAGTGCAGATGACAGCGCACAGGAAAAGAGGTACAAAAGAGCTTTCAAGCTCTACTTCCAGCTTTTAACTTGAAAGCTGGATGATTCTTGTTATTACAATACTGAATGTCTCTCTAAAACAAAATATAAGTTGAAATGGTCACTGTATTATAGATAGAAACGAGAAACTCTCGCAACAAAAAGATCAAGAAGGAATCATTTATTTTCTTGAAACAGCACTTGCACACATACAGCTAATAACCACACTCAACAGATCTTTATCCCATATCTTCACACTTCACTCAAAGGCTAGACCCTCGATCTTCCAATGTGCAGCCACCAAATCACTGATGTAGTGCCATTTGAAACAGGCCTTGTTAGAGCCTTGTAAAAGTGGGTTGAGGAGGAAGGGTCTTCTGCCAAGTCAGTATGTTTGTTCATGTCAAGGTCAGAGAAGTAGCGAAGTGTTGAAATGGAACAGGAATGAAGTGACGGCTGTGCTTCCTTCGCTCTTAGGAGATGTGAGCCTAGGCCAGCTACTAAAATACCCAGAAGGGGGTCCCTTTCAGGTCCATATCTAATATCCAGGGAATATCTAACCCAGGACCTGGAGTCAAGTGAGCCTGCAGGTTGTTCAAGTCTTTCTACAGAGCTTTCTGAAGAGCTGGCTTAAGACGATACACAGGTCCAATTAAGTCACAAATGCGCAGACGTACATTAAGAGTTCTTCTGCATTCAAAACTCATAGATACACTGGCCCTCCAGGACTAGGGTTTGAAAACTCTTTTGAAGCACAATGAGTGGTAAGGCAAGCCATTATTCTAACTTTGGAAAAACGGTGAACTCTCAAAACTCATCGTAAGCCTGGAAGGCGCAGCAGTCTTTACAGATTTACAGATAATATCACTGTTGTGAGGTACAGCAGGTTTCTAGTTGAGTCTGCAAAATTCCATGCTGAAAACTAGAAAGAAAAAAAATATGTTGAATAAACTACTGTACATAAGACCTGTTGTGTTTTTTCTGTTTCTATTTTGCCAGCTGCTCTTGGAGGTGTGTCTGGTTTACCATCTTCCATTCATAACACATGCTGTACTGTATGACTGGGTTGTACAAAAGTCTTAAACACTACTTGAAACAAGTCAATAAATGTACGTTCCTAGGCAAACTTTGGTACATCTTTCGTGAATAATAAGAAAATATGCTGATTTTTATAATACTTATCTTATATCCATATACTTACAGTGCCCTAAAATTGTAGTGGGACAGGAAAAACATGTTATTGTGTTATTTTTGTTTTAAAATCGAGGAATTTTCATTTGTGATCACACGACTAATGTGAAGGACAAGCACAATATACAGTTACATTTCATTACTAGGTAATGCAAGCATAAGTAGTGCCATATTAAACAAAGCCACAGTTTGAGTTGAACAAGTTGATTTTCAGTGACCATTACAAAAAGGTCACAGTGTAAAGGTCAGTATGTAATTTCAAATTCCTTTGCGGGAGCTACTGCATGAAGACTTACTAAACCCACTAAACTCTTTGTGTGACCATTTGAGGTGTTTTGCCAGCTGCATTCCCTTTGCATTCTTGCCTGTTCTTGGGTGCTGTGGCTACTTTTTCCTTCAGCATGTAAAGCATGAACTCAGATGGAGTTAAATCAGGAGACTGACTTTCGTTAGCCATTAGTTACATTATCAATAAAGAGGAGTGAGGCAGTTCCAGAGGCGGAACCCCACCATGCTTCACAGGCGAGGTGAGGTGATGTCATGGCCTAGGCTGACCGAGGTTGATCTCGGTCTCATTTGTCCAAAACACCCCCGGCTCACCTTTCTACTACCAATGAAAAAATAATCTGGATTTTCAGTTCATGGAGAGTCTGATGAGCGTTAACATCTTGTGGTATGATCTTTGAAAAAGTTCCCGTTTCATTCTTCTGCCAGTTGTGGATTGTGGTACCTTCACCCCTGCTCTCCTGTGGGTGCTTCAGGGTTCTCCTTCATAGCTCCAAGACTTTCTTCGACCATCAACTGCACGTTATTTTTGCCTGACTCGATCTTGGCCGATTGGTAATTATGCCTGTGGTTTCGTTCGTGTTCAATACATTTCAAATTGTTGATACTGGTATGCTCAGTTTCTGTGCAGTGATTCTGACTGAGCTCCCTTTTTCCTTCAGCTACCAAATTCCCTGGTCTAACAATGAAGGCAATCATGATAGATTGACGTGACGCTCACAGCTCTTTTATGACTGTCAGTCAACTGTCCCAATACTTGTGCTCCTTCAAAATGAAAATGTTCCACACTACCAGTTTAATGGACTTAAGAGGACAGACCAATTCACTTTAAGGAGTTGTGCTAATCAGTCAAGTGTTTTATGAGAAATGATTACAATCAGAGTTCAAAGTGAAAATGCATTTTTTGACTTTTGGAGGGAGTGGTATGCTTTACTTTACAGAAGGTGCAAAAATAAAGCACACAAAATTACGATTGATGTATATTTGTAGTCATCCAAGGGTGTTTGACTGTGGGTTACAAAAAACATAAAACAATGGCTTTGCACAAAGCTTTAATGTAGCTGACCCAATACAGCCTTCTCTATTCCCTAATGCAGGAGAGCTGAAACACTTACATTTATACAGGTTGAAAATGGGAATGTGATGGGGAATTGAAACAGGTCCACAGCTGCTCAATCTGTTCAATCTCCATGTTAATACAGCAGAAAACGCTGCAGCCAAAATCACCTCGTTTTTCCTCACCAATGATATTTCCTTATTGATTTTGAAAAGGGTGTGTTTTTTGCATGCTTAATAGAGGATCTCTAAAAATCAGGTGCTGTCTGGTGGATGATCCAGCTACATTAAACAAGTGCGCTGCCTCAGAGAGACAAATGGGGAAAAGGCCTCCGCTGTACTTGCTTTCCTTACTTGAGCCCTCCAGTGGGGACTGTGTGGCATTTCTTGTGCTCCAGCAGCTGCTCGGGGGTCTTCATGAACTTGTGGCAGACGTCGCACTCAAACATCCGCGTGATCAGGTGGATCTGCAGGTGGCGTTCGTACATCATTTTCGTCTTGCAGACAAAGTTGCAGAACACGCACTCAAAACCTGCGGGCGATTCCAAGCGAGAGGCAGGGCGTGAACTCGTCAGAGAGAAACCATCTCTTGTTCTTTCCAGTATTTAGAAGTGGCCAACCCGTAACGGAAATCACGTCCTGTTTTCACAGAACAGGACGCATGAAATACTTGCGCATTCTTTGCCATGCCAACGTACAAACAGAGCCGTTGCGCATTTCATTGGGTTTTGAATTAGACGGGCAGCTGTACAATGCGGATGTCATGTCAGTGTGGAACACTGCAGGTAAAACGGAAACAATATCCACTCACAGCTCACGAAACATTACTCTGGGCATCAGAAAAAGTACATTCGGAAGTGTTCCTTGTGCTGCTCACACGTCACAGCTTAGCATCAGGAAAACTTTGCTAACTGTTTGATTGACAACCTTCTGACACAGTGTCAACAACACATAGGGAAAAGGAGAAGGGAGTGAGATTTTTAGTATCATAATTATGCATTACCAGCTTTATTTTAGAAATATGCTTTATGAATCGGATTGATTTGGTGAATAATTTGAGGTAAGGGAGGTATTATGTTCCAATAAATAGGAAAATAAGTTCACATTAAGCATCAGACATGTATCATTTGTACTTTCTTAAGACACCTAAGTGTTCCTAGTGTTTATGAAAGGCAGACTTTTTAAGGCCACTATCATTATTTTAAAAAATGCACAGATCTGTTGACTGATGACCTGATACCAACCAAATGATCAAGAATTTTAAACAGCCTTAAGATAAACACATACTCACATAAAAGAGTAAAAGGCTTTCGTGCATTTATCATATTTATTTTGCATGTTTTTGTTTGAATTGAAGGGATTTAAAATCCAGATATGCTCATTTCTTTGTTTCATTATATGACGAGTTGTACCAAGTATTCTGGGTGGTATATATTCCACGCTGGGATCATGGAATGCACCACAGTAAAAATGGCCCTGTCATTTTGTAAATCTGTTTTTCTTAATCTGTGGTGTAGTGGGTTTCTTACACTCATACAGACAAGAGTTCATCCTCCTCTAGTTGACCCTCTGGAGTTTCCAGTACGTTTTAAACCACAGCCATCACAGTTTTCCTTAAACTAGCTAGAGCAAAGAACAGCACTCAGCTGTGTAGCAAGTATATTTCAAAAGCTCTCTTTTTATCTTCCTAAAAAATCAATATGACTGCAGTTTGCCTGCATAATAGCCAGGAGGTTAAGGTCAAATTTACTGCCACATGTTGCCCCAGGAAAATATAAATATGGTTTATGATGTCTGGACTGTGAAAGTGACATTTATAGTTGGGTAGATAAAAAGCCTGGAAATCCCACTCTAACAGTATTATTCTATTTTAAACTGCATATTAACCAAATGCTGAAATTACTACAAAGAATAAACAATGAGACACAGCCCTGTAACAGATGACCAAATAGGAGCTATTCTGCAGCTAATTTCATGTTTAACATGTGACCAACGAGCAATTGACAACTGATCCCTTCCAGAAATATGTTTTTGTGTCCTATGTATACTCCTAATACATCACAACCTAAGACGAATCTTCCATTTTTAAACCGCACTGGTAAGTTTCTCAAGAAAACATTAATTTTATCTCTCAACTCTTGCAAGAATCAGCTATGGTAATACTACATGTCATACAAAGTAGCAGAGTTCATCCTGAGGCAGCTGTAGACAGCTGTTTTCTAGGATCCAGCACTATGATCTAGGAGAGTCCAATCCTGGTTCTGGAGATCAGCAGTCCAGCAGGCTTTAAACATCACCTCCACCTTAAGAATTGGAAAAACTGGTTTTATTAAGCCCATAATGGGTGCAACTAGGCAGTCATTAAGAGATCTGTTGGAATGAAGAGTTGCAGGCACAGTGACCCCTGAGGACCAGGACTGGAGATGACTGCATTAAACTCAGCATGTGCCTCCAACAGGCACCAGTCGGAGCAAGAAGGGACACGTCCTCCACTGAAATGTTGGACTAATGCCGTGATACTCTGCTAAAACAGATATAAATAAGGGAGGCACTTTATACATGACCAGAGACAGTTGTGAAGAGATCAGTAAACTCTTGTTGTGGTGCTCAGTGTATTCCTTACACAAAAGTATTGCAGTTACACAACAGTAGGGAACTACATTATTACCACACGAGTACTGCTTTATTAATTGCCATGTTCTAAGTGCTGCGTTTACATGGTAGCAATAACACTGCAGCACCTTTCTTTTTCCTCTTACGGATTAGCAGGTTTGTGCTTAATTAAAGAAAAAAACAATATTTACTGACGCTTTTGGTGAATGTTTCCCGATTTAGACAATCTTTTGTGAAACCTTAGGTGTGCACTTCTGGAGGACTGAAAAGAGCGGGACTCTCAGAGGTGAGGACGTACCCTTTTCTGACTTCTCTTCTGCCCCAGATCCCAAGTGGCTGCCGGAGCTGGCCTGGCTGCCCACAGAAGAGGGCGGGGCCAGCAGGCTCTTCAGCTCCTCGTTGCTATGGGCGATGTCGCTGCTCTCAGAGCCGTTGACCGAGTCGCTGAGAGCTGACAGCGAGGAGGACGTGCTCTTAGTCTCACTCAGAGGGCTTTTAGAGTTGAAACCTTAATGGTAAAAATATCCAGCATGAAAAAGAGCCCAGCTTTTAGGACACCACACACTTAGGGTCAATATCGCTTTTAATTAAGCACCTCATTCAACCCAAAACACAACCTAATGGAAATGGCCAGAATATATACGACAATAACAGCTTAGTGTGCAGAAACTCATTATCACACTGAACTGCTTGACCTTTGTCTGATATGAGCCTTATTAAAATGAAAATCATTTAAAATGTCAAAAGAAATAATGTAAGATTTTTTAGCAGTATATCATTAAAATGTACAATTGCTATCCGAATTTTAAAGTCTTTTTGATTTTTAAAGTCTTTTTTTTACATTGTGAACAAAGGGTAAGACACTTTTTAAAAAAAATCATCTTACGCCACAAAACAGTGAGTAGAGAGGACCGCACAGATAAAATGAATAAATCTGTGAGACTTCTGTGCAACTTCTGGCTTCAGACAAAAGTCCAAAAGAATTAAACTGACCTGTGGACAAGTCATTCCTGAAGTTTCTAGAACATTCTCAGAGGTGGAAAGCTTCTCAGATCAAACAGATTCTTATTCAATATTGGCCAGCAAATGTTTTTACACCTCATTACCCATCGCATCTCTCCCGCTTCATCACAATTTTCTGAAGATTACTGCGCTCAATAACTGTATGTGCTTTATGTTCAGTTCTATAATGAAAAACAATGCAGAAGTGTATTTTCTATTGTGTTCTTCTTGTTATTTGGCATATGTATGTTAATTTACATGGAGTATTAGTTATACCCAGGGTGTAGACATATATGATTAAGAACAGATTTTCCCCATTATTTGCATTTTTTCTTATTCACATTCAGTTCAAGAATGTATCTACTGCGAATAAGCAGGACTTGGTTATAAGTCCTTGGTAGTTAACCAAGAGCTGCTGTTAAAAAGTTTTGATATTTGTACAAAGCACTGTTTAACCTCTGGCTTTTCCTTACACAAAACGTGACAACACCAGCCCCTCATGGAAGTTGAACAAAGCAGAGAAAAAGAAACTAGACTAATCTGGGGGTTTGAGGTTATGAATCACACTTGCAGGTTAAGAGTAAGGATTATTTTTAGACTTGGAAATAGGAGGTTTGATTAAAGCCTTTAAAAACATGGAGGCGGGCTGACAAAGTCCACTCATCACGTCTTCACATCTTCACAGTTGAGCTTCCAGGACCGGGGGAGAGTGGGCAGACTTGGCACAGCATACTGGAGGTGCTTTTCTTTCCGAAACTGACTACTGGGCGTATTCAAGATTTACACTTAAACCGTGTCATGAAGATACTTTAGTATGACACCCAGCCAGTCTGGAGATCAATACAGCACCCAAAGCAGTTCTTTCTGTTTAGATTTATTTTCTGAATGGGGTGACATAAATGGAGGTTGTAATCTGGACAATTCAGGACAAGCAATGATTAAATAGATTTATATATATTTCATTGTGAGTGAAATAACTTGCACCAATTTTTCTGTATAATATCACCACAGAGACTAACTACAGAATATTGTTACTTGGGGTTTGCAGTCTGTGGACAGTGTTGCAGGAACTGTGAATCCCTGTGTCCTAACAAGCAGAGCACTCAGCCTGCTGCTGGGTGATGAGAGGATCTAAACACTCGTCTGTCAAACAGCCTCATCCTTGTGCCAGACTGCCTAACTACATGAGTGACAACACAGCGCGGTAGATTTTTGGCTTTTCAGGGAGATGTCCTATTGCTAGCACTGAATCTCCACTGACAAATAAACGTGGCCCCTTTCCTCACCTTGACAGTGTTGTTCCTCGTTAAAAAGTACATTTCTGCAACTGCGCCATCAGTCATAAACGCCAAGCTTTGACGTGAACTGGGCAGATTCTTTGGCCTGTTGTAACCTGCAGCTAGCTAAAACACTGCAGAACAGGACCATTTTGTATATATGTTCTCTGGCCCTGATTCCACCAACCCTCTGGTAATTATCAGCCCTCTGCAAAGATTTCATTCATCACTGGGCTATTATACCGAAAAGGTTGAGAAACACTTACTCCAACTATATGTTCATAAATAGAAACTGGTATTAGTTGAATTCGTGGTGCAAAGAGATTCAGGACACAATAAGCTACTACATGATTTGTCATATGTATTTTACAACTTCATGAGGGAACATTTTAAAGTGGTTTAGTTTCATAATTTCATTTAGATCATGATTTTCAAACAGCTCTAATGAATGTTCACCAGAACTCAATACAGCTGGGGAGGATAAGAACAGAGACTTGGCCTCAGGTGTACAGAGCGACTGCTGATACTCCTTGCTCGTGATTCAGGGACTCGTCAGAGCATGACTAGCCTTTATGTCACATTTTGCAAGCAATCTTTTTCGGCAGAACAGGGAGAGGTACAAAATGTCACATGAATCACCAGAAGAGAGGTGGCAAAAAAAGAAAAAGGCAAAGGGAAGGGAGCAGAAGAGACACAAGCAGGCACAGCAGGGCCCCAGAGATCGCCTTCCCCTCACCCTTGGCTTACCTGCATGGCCTGTATTTACATGCGTCTTCATCTCCGTCTCCTCGCTGCACACAAATTCACAAGTGCTGCAGCAGATAGAGAACATCCACTGCTCCTTATCTACGTGAAGAGACATGTGACTGACAAACTGGGCATTGAGCTCCGTCTCAAACCCACACACATGGCAGCTGCAGGGGGCACAGACATCATTTAAATCATCAGTCACAAAGCCTCGCATCGGACAGCTACAGACAAACTGAAGAGATTGCTGCTTCTGATCAAACAAAAGCAGACGCCACTTTCTAATCAAAAGCAGACTTACAATACACTAGCGTCCTGGATTACAGACATCGCCTTACTAGAGCAGTTACATTTGAATAAGCTTAGTTCTAGGTCGCTGGCGATGATGATAGGGTTAGTGGTATTTTACAGCTCAATGTCATAGCTGTAACAATGTGTTAGCAGCATTAGATTGCTGTGCAAATCAACAACGCAGCTTTCTTATTTCAAAATGTACTTGGATATGTAAAATGATATACTATTATTTATTATTTTTTAATTCTGCTAAATAACTGCTTTTTTGAGCCATAATTATTTGACACGTTTAAAGATTCTCAATTTAGTCACAAGGGATGTACTAATAATATTTGTTAGTTGTACACAGCATGCATGTGAGGTTAGTTCAGCATTAGCAAGTCCAGTGCTATAACTTACTTGTCCGGGACATGTCTAAGGTTAGCTATCTATATGGGACATGTCTAAGGTAAGCCACCTGTCCGGGACATGTCTAAGGTGAGCTATCTATATGGGACATGTCTAAGGTTAGCCACCTGTCCGGGACATGTCTAAGGTGAGCTATCTATATGGGACATGTCTAAGGTTAGCCACCTGTCCGGGACATGTCTAAGGTTAGCTATCTATATAGGACATGTCTAAGGTTAGCTATCTATATAGGACATGTCTAAGGTTAGCTGCCTGTCCGGGACATGTCTAAGGTGAGCCACCTGTCCAGGCAATGTCTTAGTGTAGCTATGTGTCCAGGGCGTGTCTACTACCTGTAGTAGTAGGGGCAGTTCTTGCGTTCTCTGGTTTCCGCAGTCACAGCACTGACGATCTGCTCAGCATCAGTGCTCACCAGCTTGACGGAGTGGATGGTGAGGTGCTGATTGAGATTTGCACGGCACTTGGCTGCGTAAGGACACAGGTGACACTTGTACTTCCGCTCTTCTGGAACAGCAAACAGAGTAAAACTGTGCAGGGAGCCCCTGTCCTTAGGCATGCAGTCTCTGTTCTAAGCATCTTAAATTCCACAGGCTGTTTGAATTGTAGGAGAAATATATTGCCAGCAGCCATATCACCCTGCAACTCACAACTGGCAACCCACTGAAGCTCAGCAGGTGTGAGCCTGGTCAGTACCTGGATGAGAGACCTCCTGAGAAAAACTAAGGTTGCTGCTGGAAGAGCTGTTAGTGGGGCCAGCAGGGGGTGCTCACCCTGCAATCTGTGTGGGTCCTAATGCCCCAATATAGTGATGGGGACTATATTGTAAACAGGCACCATCCTTTGGATGAGACCATCCCTGACTCCCTGTGGTCATTAAAAATCCCAGGGCATTTCTTGTAAAGAGTAGGGGTGTAACCCTGGTGTCCTGGCCAAATTTCCCATTGGCCCTTACCAATCATGGCATCCTAATAATCCCCATCTGTGAATTGGCTTCTTTACATATTGCTCTCCTCCCCACTGATAGCTGATGAGTGGTGAGCGTTCTGGCACACTATGGCTGCTGTCGCATCATCCAGGTGGATGCTGCACATTGGTGGTGGTGGAGGGGAGACCCCATTACCTGTAAAGCGCTTTGAGTGGAGTGTCCAGAATAGCGCTATGTAAGTGTAAGCAATTATTATTATATCAACACAAAACGGACAATCAATTATACAGTATACAGGGTGCAGGAGTCATCATGAAGCAATGAACAACGGAAAGAAGTGTCTTTGTCTAGATTTGTTTACAGCCAAATCATTTCTTGTTTTCTTCATACAGAATTACCATTGGATATATACAGTATACATTACACATCAAACACAGGTAATACATGATCTAATGTCCTTTGAATGGGTGTGTAGTTTTGGTGCATTTATAGTACATGTTCACGCAATAAAAACCAACAGACAAAAGCAAACAATCAGAAGACAGTGGCGGCAGGGCTGACATCAGAGAGAGACGTGCTCCTCCTCCAGTCAGAGCTGGCTCTCCTGCAGGTCGCTGCAGAGCTGTATGGCTCGATGAGGGGGTGGGGGGGGGTTGTCAGAGGTGCCTGTTCCACACTTTTTTAAGCTTTCCATGTGGGTACAGCGGCTGTCAAGCTATACAATAGGTGATTCCATATCGGAATAGATTATGGAATGGTTGGTAAGAAATAGAAAACTACCGTTGATTAAACATTTAAAAAATGTGTCTAGTTTTCATACTTAACATTATTTCCTTTATATTTCTATGCTGTTGTCATTTTGTTAAAATGCAAAACCAAATGCAGTGGGCCACAAATGTACAGTGCTTTAGAATCATACTTTTTTTTACATAACTTTGGATAACAGAACCATGAAAAACTGGTGGCAACACATTACAATTTCTGTCAGATGCTTTTATTTTCCTTTTTTGCATTTGCTTGTGTGTCGGTACTTACCAGTATGCAGGGAGAGATGCCGAGACAGTGTCTGCTGTCTCCCAAAAACCTTTCCACACACAGTACACGGCAAGAGCTGCTCGTTCAGCCTCCACTGAGGCATCCCGTTTCCTGGCTCCAGGCCTGGCTTCTCCGGGTCTGTAACACACACGCATCGACATGTCAGCCGCTGCCGTGTGCCCAGGACTTTTCCAATAAGGAACAGACAAGCATTTTCCTGAATTAACCTTGATGCCACGTACTGCCACCAAGCGAATGTTTCAAACAGTCACCTTCATTCTGGCTTTTGCTAAGATGTGGGAATACATGATTCTGGCAGAATGTCTAAATGCCGTTATTACTCTTATGCCATATCGATATCTTAACATAACTGACTCTCCACTTGTTGTTTAAACTACTTTACATTCTTAGTTTTCCTTGACCTCTCAGAAGCTTTGGACACTCCCAATCGACCATCCTCTCGTCCTTTGTCACTAAGCTTGGAACTCCACCTGTTCCTTTGAGTTTCATGATATCTTTCTTCTTTGGATCTCTGTGGCTGTTGCCCAGGATGAAACTTTCTTTACACTAACTATACCAAGTATTTCTTCTCTGTCTCTTATGTGCTGCTGATCCTCTCAGATCTTCCTCTGCTTCCCATCTCTGAGTTCTGGCAATTCTTCATTGACAACTACTGCCACTGATCTATCTTCCTGGATGCACCTACAGCACCTCAAATTTTGCCTTTCAAAATCTGATCCAGTCTATATCGCTTCTTCCCTGTTCTAATTTTTGTCCACTTTATACTGATAAGGTTATGTGTAGGGTGTAAAATAATAACATTGCAGGTTCATCTCATGTCTGTGTGTGGTTCCTGCCACAGGCCAAAGACGTACTGGTAGTGTGTGCATCTCGCTGTGTGTGTGTCTGTGTGTGCCCTGCGATGGACTGGTGAACAGTTCAGGGTGTACCCCACTCTTGCACGTTGTGATAGGCTTCAGCAGCCCCACGACTCTGTATTTGATGAAGCAGTTATTAAATGGATTGATATAAAGCGATGAATACACTAACACTAACAGAGCTTTTTGGTGATGGCCCAACTTGGGTATGACACCCATGTTTTTCAGTGCCTTTTCCACAGTAGGGTCGCCTAAAAGCACATTTCTCAACTTCTGGTCCGCAGATTGACACTGGTCCCTCATGTAACCTTGTAAACAAGATAGATTGAACTGTATTCCTGCTCTGTACTTCTTTTCAGCCTAAGTGGTCCTCAAAGGTGAAGCCCAGGGTACTGGACCCTGGTACACAGCCGGTTGGGAAATACTAGTCTATGACAAGTAATGCAATGCTAGTGGTGCTAAAAGATTTTTTAAGTTGGTACGCTTCAGTCCTACGATAGATGTGTTCTTCTGTTCTTAAAGTAAACAGCTAGTATGTTATCAGCTGTTTCAAATGTCAGTCATTTCGATCCCAAGGCACACTTACATCAGCAGAAAGATTTCCAGAACACCGCCCCCCTTCCCACATACGTGCAAATCACCGAAACACATTATTAACAAAATTTACAATAATTTTTATACTTAAGTCGCCTTTATCATAACAGAAACTGAAGACAGTGAAACACAAAACTCCTGCTCAGCTCATCTCAGACATTCTCCATTTTTATGTCCATCAGACTTGAAAAGGGTGACACTTAATTCCCATGTGAGCGCTGGTTGTGTCTCATCTGACACAAAACCCTGACACTTTGTTTACTCCATAAAATATTAATATACATTTAATTTAGACATTTTATTTTTCCATATGTGCCTTTCCGAAATCACTGCTCTGTGTGTTTGTTGCAGTTTGCTTTTCTCTTGCTACCACAGGAAAAGTTGGACAATGTGTAGAACATCACTCTGTCGCTCCGAGCCCTGATATTCTACGTAATTGTTCTGAACTCTGAAACGTTCCCTTGGAAACATTCTTACTTCTTTGCCATTGTGTTCCTTGCTGTACGTGGCATAAGAATGGATTATCTCGTGCACTGACATTCGCTTCTCATACTTTGCTGCTCGGCTACATTAGATTTTATTGCCAAAAGCGAAAAGGAGAGCAGAAAAATGTTTTTTGATGACTGTAAGGCAGATTTCCCAGAAAGCAGAAGATTTCTCTTTCTTTTTTTCAAATCTTGTATTTGTACTGGTATTTTGGAGAATGCCTCTTACAATCTGTGACGCTGTGCCATAATCGTTATTCTATTTATATGCGCAAAATAAAGCTTACAGCTTCCACACACTGCTTGTAAGCCAACATTAAACCATCACCAAAAAGAAAGCAGAATCTCTAGATTTAAATTAAAGTAACTTTAATTGTGGTATTTTGGCTTTCAATCCACTGAAAAATATAATAGCCTTTGGTTCCCCAGCAAAAGCCTTTACTACTGCTCTTGCAGTGAATATGCCAAGAGCAAAAAGCACAAATTTTTCAGAATATTATCAGAACCAATAAGGAGTGAGGGACTGATGGGGGGAGGGGGGCACAGCGGAAATAGAAGATTTAAAAACAGTCCTCTTTTGGCACATACAGTATCAATACTTATAACAGAATCCATTATAGACCAGATGTGTTCACCCTGGAGAAAGAACCTGAAGGACATTCCTATGGGTTTCCGGTTCATTCTTGCACTGGCAGAAAAATTAAGCCCATTTTCCATAACAGTCTGTTTTAAGTGCCTGTCAAGCATGTCAGGCTCTTGGACAACAACTCGCTTAGTTTTGTGTCAGCAAAGTAAAAAAAAAAAGTTTTAGAAAGTAGCCTTGCATTCAAGTCAGGGAATGTTGTCCTGGGGTTGTAACAAGAAAGCAGGAATACATTGACATAATACCCTTCTTGGATGGACAGCCAGACCTTGTCACTAGACCGAGCTTTAAGATCAAAGACCAGATTAGTTCTTCATTTGAGACCTGTCTCTTTTCTGTGTTAACCAAGCAGATTTATATATTTTTTTAATTTCTACATGCGTGTAACTATGCCCAGTTGAAATAAGCCAATCCATCTTTTTGTATTGGATTAGGAACCAAACTACAGTAAAAGTACAGAAGAAAAATATAACAGTGCAAACAGGAACAAAGTTTACCTCCCTGATCTTTCCACAAATCCAATGAAAAGGCAATGAATTGTGAGCCATAGTATAGGATCTATTTTAATTATGGCCTGGATTTCTCAAAGCGTTATGTACTAAAGATTTTTATGGACTTACATCATAGAAATACCAGCAGTACTAGATCTCCTCTGAGACCCCAGTGTCTAGATCACAACACCTCATTATACTGGTTTGAATCTACACTCCTTCTCCGTAACACTGGTCATAGTCTTGAGACTGACAGCAACTGTGAGAGTGGTAGAAATTAGCTGGACCAATCTGTACAAGCAGCTGGAAGAAACCACCCCCAATCTGGGATAAAATCACCCAACGTAACAAAACTGGTTGGATTTCTTTGCGTGAACCCTGCTCTTTGAATCAAGTCTGATACAGAGCTTTAAATATTTATGAAGCAGATGTGAAGGAGGGAAGCAGTGAGGAGTCATTCAAGTCGGTGTCTTACTCGAACAATGACCTAAATATTTAATTAAGCCAATTAAGTGTTCCTGCAGGCCTTGAAGTAGTTAATGGCTTAATTGCGCTTATTAAAGCTGGAGTGCCTTGGCTTCTTGCGGTCAGTATGCTTCTGCCCCTGGACAGGAAGGTAAGGTCAGGAGCCATGCTGAGCCTGCACACGCACACTGAGGGCTCTCTTCTGCTGCCCCTTCCAGTCACCACCAGCACCACGTCTTCTGGGAGCAAAACACATCCTCCTCCAGCACAGCTACTTTCACAGCTGACAGACTGCATTGCAAAACAACTGAAGTTTGCTACTAGTTTTCCTCGTCTATAATCTTTCCGAAAGCAGGAATCGTGGAAACCGAAGGCAATGAGCAGCGAAAATGGTCAAAAGAAAATTCTAGGTAATTAATACAATACATGTGTTTGGTAACTCTGGGAGATTTTAGGAAAGTCACGGTTCTCTTTCGATTTTGGGGAGGTTGTAAGGTTTAATTTTATGCTAAGGTTATAGTAAGGAAAAAAAAAATGTTCCAATACTGAATATGTCAAAATATTTCCCAGTTAAGCTTCTATTCTGGATTGTACAGAAGGGGTCTACAGAATTCAAAGCGAGAAGGAAAGCATTTAGGCAAATTAACGCTCAGGACACCTTTGACATCCAGAAACACAATAACTTTTTCGTCAACATGGGATACGAGAATGGCAGATGCTAATTGCCCTTTGCGTTGTAGCATCCCTTAACCACTCCGAGATGAGAAGTGAAGGTTTCATTAGCCAGTGGGAGGCAGGGACTGAAGCACAATCACTCGGAAGCAGAACTCGGCTGAATAGCGCTCCCTCATTAGGAGTCTGTCCCTGGGAGTCAAGTGTGCGCAATGTGTTAATGAGGCAGCTGGGACTGTGGAGGGGATCTCTCCAGAGCTCAGGGCTGTCGGAAGGGACTGTGTCTTACCTTGCATTGAAGCTCGTGCAGAAGAGCCAGCCTCGTTGGGAACAGCATCCTTGGAGCAGGTGTCAAAGGGTGATTGTCTGAAGCCATCTTCAAGGAAAGGGCTAGGAAGGGTCAGAGAGACAGAAGAATCTAAATTTGCTTTGACCAGTAAAGGTGTCAGTGGAACACAGACACTGGGATGTGTTGCAATTTGCAAAAAAGATAGTTTTGTATTTTACACATCAGCTATCAACATGCGACGTTAGTGGTATCTGTTGTGGGGACTTACCTGTTCATGTTTAACATGCTGTTGTCTTTGTGATCGTTAGCTTTGCTTACTTTTTCTGAAAGAGAGGAAATATAAGGCAAGGGGACACACAAGAGTTCTAGTTTAGTGCATTTCAGAAAAGAAGACCAATATGATAAAGAAGATATATGCTTTTTCATGGTCACACTGATTTATTTCACAACATCCAAGAGCGTCAGGTGTCAGTTTGGACTATGCAGCATTGCATGTAATCGGTATTAGACATCAGATTATTGCTGGGATTTCTGCACACTTTCTCAGAGTGGAGTAATGACTTCATTTCACAGTGACTGCTCCCTTGGTAGTGTTTTATGGCACAACACCCCTCATCTTAAAGCCTGACACTGCTACAGCACAGGGCAGCACGGAGGATGGAGTTCCGTATGTGTTGCCATGACAATTACAAATGGGAAAAAAGTGTGCAACCGACTATGCGTAATGCCTTACACTTAAAATTAGGTAGAAAAATTCACTTGCTATTTGTAGCCTATCTGTCTGTGAGCTTATTATACAGCCTTGAAACATTCCACTTTATGTCGGATGCATATTTAAGTCGTGATAGCGTGTGTTTTGCAGCTTCCATTTCAAGGGAAACTGAATGTACTGTTCCCTATCAACCAAGGAAGGACTCTACAGTTATTCCAAGAAAATACAATTTATCTGCAATTGACATGGAAGATCCTCACACTGCCTCATTACACTGAATAAATGAAAATGACCAAAACTTAAATGTTTCAATGATGGGTCATTGTTCTTAGACCATAGGGTTAAGCCCTAATTCAGACCCATTTTCTGTGTCTGGGATGCATACCTGACAGTTTGAAGAGGAGTTCGGAGGCCATTTTGACCGAAATGTCCTGGGAAAAGAGTGGTTTCTGAGGGCGGATCAAGGCCTCAGGAATACTGGGTAGTGCTTCGCTCTTCTCGCGTCCTGGTAAAGTGCAGAAGCCTAGCAGGCGAGCAGAGGATGGAAGGTCATCGTGGGTGTCGATCTCCATGGGCTCTGCTTTCACTGTGGCCTTCTGTAGGTGCGTTTCTTTGTTGTTTTCTGTTGAAAGCAAGCCAACCCAGACGGATGACCAAAACCTCCAGACAAGGTCCACTTTTACCGGTCCAATATTACTGGAGTAAGAATTTACAGCATGTCTTTCATGCTAGCTTACCCAAAAGACCTGCACTGCAACAGCTTGATTAGCTTTCACCTCAGAAAAAAAAAAGTTTTTGTCAAAAGTAGGGAATACAATGAAGGTCTAGGTTCTCTTCAACCAGAAAATAGTTTTGTTTAGTTTTTTCCACATCTTTACCAATTAGAGCTCAACAACTGTAAATGAAGAGTCCCAGTCATAAAAAACAAAAAAACAAGCAAACAAAACAAAATCCTCCCAGACTGAATATAAGAAAAAGAAAACAGTATCTTATTTTCTTCTTGAAGCTGTGCAGCAGGGCCCAGTGGCACTGAGCCTCTTACTGAAGGTGACATCACCTCCTTGGAAATTGGATAAAGTTGAGCTCTCCTGTGGCAGGAGACCCACTCTTGTGGTGAAGCAGAAATCTTCACAATGCTGAAGGTGGAATCCCAGCAGGTGCCAAGCCACACATTGAAGTAGCAACTCGGATTACAGTGACTGATGTGTGAACATTCACGGAGGGGAAGGGGATGAATATACCAGGTCTCACCAGAACTGAGCCTGTTGCAGAAGGTGACATCACTCCCTTAAAACTGTAATTTTCACGATGAAACTACCATTCACTGATGTTTTTAAAAGTATTTTTTTCTAAGCTTAATAGGACCAATATAACTTATTTTGTTAACAATGTTAACATGTCCAAATCAGAATTCAAGCTTAAATATGTATCTTGTTAAATTTAGGTTTAGCAAAATATTAAAAGACTGGGCATAATTATTTTTTGTTCATTTACTTTGATCAATTCTACATTAAAATCTGGAATTCCATATAAAAAATATAAAATACTGAAAACTTCTTGAAATCCAGGTGTTTTTTTGTTTAGTTATCTGAAGAACACTTAAAAGATTCAGTGAATTGTGGAGTTGTAAGATCTAACTTCTCCATTTTAAAAGGATCTGCAAGATGTTTAAGAATCCATTCTTCAACTTTTGGCAACTTGGGACACTCTTTGGCAAAAATGCCAAATGTCTTAATTCTGGCTTACAGGTAAAATGCTGAAACTTCAAAGAAATAAGAAGGGCGGTTTAATGAGCTGCAGTTGTACATTCATGTTGAAGAGCCAGCTTCTAGGGATTCTGAGCAACGGCTCACGCTCTGAACTGTGTTTTAGCTCCCACCTTTCAGGAGAGCATTTATGTGCCTGGGCAGTGATGCAGTCCACAGGGGAACATCCCTTTGGAAATTACTGAGCAAGCCTGCCTCTCAGTCCCTGGGTGAGCAGTGCTCATCTGGTCTGAGGCTGACATACATTGTGTACAGGTGCCAGATATGTCCAGGGTACAGGTGCCAGATATGTCCAGAGCTGAGCCACGCCAGGACAGAGAAAACTAGCAGCCCAGTAATCCTTTAATAAGGCCCCCACAGCAAATGCAAATACAGAACTGTGAAAGCCACAAGCTGAGGTCATGAAAAGGACACGAAGATCTACACTCCAGATAAGGCTATAAGTTAACACAATCCGGGCCCTAGACTCACAAGTGACCTCGAAGAAAGCTGCTTGGTTAAGCACACAACATTTTAATCACGTCAGTACTGATGTTTCAGCCCCTACCATCCAGAAAATGTATCTGTTCTATGAACATTTCTTTTTGTTACCTTTTAGGGCTCAAAAGAACAACATAATGTCCTGGTACTTCTTTGGGTTCTCCCTGGAAATACAACAGCATACGATAGATAGCTGTAAGAAACAGCATGTCTCATGAAATTTCGAGGTGTGTATTACCTTTGCTCCCGTTTGCACATCTGCTTACAGACTGCGAACGCAGTCTGGAGTAACTCCAGACTCTTGTCTTACTGTTTAGAGATCCCAGGATCAGAATTGACCTTTCATTACAGGCGAAGGGTTTTGTCACTTCATGTAGCAGGGAGGAGCCTGACAGCACCCTGTATTTCACAGTTCATGTGTGGGCTTTTCATGGAGGAATTCAAAGATAAAACCTACATAAAATACATTGCTATTTCCTGCTCTTCGTTGTTGTGCCCAACACATTTTATACACTTTGTACACAAAGGAAATTTAGTCATTTCCTACTTATTTAGTCTGGCTGCAGTTTTCTACAGCAAGTTAGACGGTACTGCAAGAGCAAAACTGCAGTTTTAAAGCACCCCAGCATACACTCCCACTCTGTGCAAATGCAGAAGATCAGGGTTTCACTGGCATAATGAAAAGCCTGCATGGCATGTCAGGGTGCAGTCACATTTTTGACTGGCTCAACTTAATTATCAAGGACATGCCTGGCAAGGAGGTCTGCACTCAAAAGGCTTCCCCTGAGAAAGGGTACAATTCACACCAAAGGCACTTGTAACAGTCAGGAGGACACTCCACTGCAAGTCAGCCCACACCAATGACTCAATCCCCTCCATGTGACCGTGTAGCTCACACCTGGGTTAATGTGTGCAGTATACTGCTGTATCATGGCACATCTGTTCAAGCAGCACCATAAGCAGAAAGTCTGTTTATGCGCTTTAATTAGCCCCAGGGATGGCTATGTTATAAATTAAACAGATGTGGTGGGTGAAAGGTGTAAAAGCTTACTCACTGTAAACGGATGGTGAAAAGTGACCTACTTTTAAAACTAGTGCAGTGCATACAATGACCATCCTTAATAACGCACCATGTCGTTTTGAGGGTGGTGACACTGTACTAATCTATCACACAAGACTGTAATCGCTTTTAATTCCCTGAAGTACATTTTGAAAATGAATGAAATAGCAAATGTTAATCAACTCAGCATATGAGGGTTAGTTTTCAGAAATAATGACGGCAATACTGGCTGTACAATGCAGCCTAATTGACTGAGTGAGCATTTGAATGAGAACTACAGCATTCTCCGTCACTCCTGGCCAAGAGTAGCCCCTAAATGACCCTACATTCAGCAGTGCTGAATGATACTGAGGCCAGGATCTGGAGCTTTTCAATATGCATCCAATAACCGTGTTTGGTCCCTCACCTGGAAAAGGGTATCATTGGGGTATTCTGATGCACCATGAACAGGAAGCACACTCCTTTTAGTCACATACACTAACCCCAAACCTGCCGACACATGCACTAACCCTAACCCTGAAGACACAGACGCTAACCCCTACCCTCTGGACACAGACGCTAACCCCCAACGCTCCGGACACAGACGCTAACCCCCAACGCTCCGGACACAGACGCTAACCCCCACCCTCCGGAGACAGACGTTAACCCATACCCTCTGGATACAGACGCTAACCCATACCCTCTGGACACAGACGCTAACCCCCCATGCTCCGGACACAGACGCTAACCGCCACGCTCCGGACACAGACGCTAACCCCCACGCTCCGGACACAGACGCTAACCCCCACGCTCCGGACACAGACGCTAACCCCCACCCTCCGGACACAGACGCTAACCCATACCCTCCGGATACAGACGCTAACCCATACCCTCCGGACACAGACGCTAACCCCCACGCTCCGGACACAGACGCTAACCCCCACCCTCTGGAGACAGACGCTAACCCATACCCTACCGAGACAGACGCTAACCCATACCCTCCCGAGACAGACGCTAACCCCCACGCTCCAGACACAGACGCTAACCCCCACCCACCGGAGACAGACGCTAACCCCCACCCACCGGAGACAGACGCTAACCCCCACCCACCGGAGACAGACGCTAACCCATACCCTCCGGACACAGACGCTAACCCATACCCTCCGGACGCAGATGCCAACCCCCACGCTCTGGACACAGATGCCAACCCCCACCCTCCGGAGACAGACGCTAACCCCCACGCTCCGGACACAGACGCTAACCCCCAC